TATACACCTTTATTTTCTCACGTGTGTGAAACAATGTGTCATTTGCTTATGAAGCAACAAAATGAATAAAACAAGTTATTAAGATATTGTGAATAGCCCTAAAATGGTAAAATGTTAGAAATGCTCTATTATATTCATTTCAAAATAGAGTTTGTAAAATTAATTTCATTTCTGACATTTTTTATATTTATTATAGTTGACAATATCATGAATAATTTTATGTAATTTAATATAGACACTAAAACACATTTGACAGTGATGAGCTATTTCATCACTAAAGACATTTAGGAATAAGTTTGCAGAATTAATGCTTTCAATTATGCTAAAAACAAGACATTTGTCAAGATTGATTGATTGATTGATGTAATGTGATCAACCAGTGCTGAAATAAGGGGGGTTTCATGAACTGTTATACATATCCATATATTCACAGTTGTTTTTATTTAATTCATTTTATTTGTTGTTGTTTTTTAATAAAAAGGCAGATTCTCAGACTAACATTATATGCCTAAAATAAAACGCAATGGCATATTCAATCACTGAAAAATCTCAAAAGTCTCAATTTGAAAGCACTGCATCTTTCACTACAGACACTAGAGGTAGCTTCAACATCACTTTTCCTCACTTTTCTCCAGTAAATGCCCGGTTTATATAAAATGTCCTATGCGCTCACAACAAAATTCCACCTATCCATTCTCCAAACCACTTATCCTCTTTAAGGTCACGGGGATACCAGAGCCTATCCCAGTGTCTAAAAACTAAAAGCAACCAAATTCTTATTCTCCATTATCCATTTCAGCTCATATTAAACAAACATGCACATTTTGGGATGATCTAGACAGGTGGTCTCTTCTACGTGTGTGACTCAAGCAGAGAGAATAATATATCTGCACGACACACACACACACACACACACACACACAGACGCTGATGTCCCAGAGGCCTCGGCGAACAGAGCACACACTGACAGCTGAAGCGTCAGGCATTTGTGTCTTTCTGCTGAGTGTTGACTTTATGCATTTCTTCCTCAGTCTAGCGTTTTCTCTCTTTATGTCTGCCTTGATATTTTCTGTTGTATTGTGACCTCTCCTCTCTCTCTGTCCCTCTGTCTCTCTTTGTCTGTGGTGCAGATGATAAATGATCTTGTGTGTTTCAGTAGATGCCTTGGGGCAGAGCTGCTCTCAGATGCGATCACTGGGTCTAAGTTATGTGCTATCTCTCCCCTCTGAGCTCAGTCCACATTTACAAGAATAGTTCATCCAAAACTTTTACAATCATTCACTTACTCTCGTTGTTCTAAACACACATAACTTTCTTTCTTCCAAGCAAAATCAATGTTCCTGCTGCTTGAAACTTCAAACAGGACAAACACATAAATGTTTTTTAGTCCACAAAGTCCATATTAAGCCAAAATTTAACAAACTGAAATGCACGTTGTTATTCACAGAAAATCTATATTTCACTCTGTTCTTTACCCGAAGCCAACATATGGTTCATACAACGCAACAATTTCAATATTGTCCATGAATCATAAGGACTACTTGAATACTACAGTGATGTTTTGTCCTTTTTGTAGCTTGATTGTATGAATAACCATTTTCATTGTTTGACAAATAGTGTGAATTAGAGGTCTTAATAAGTATACTTGTACAAAACTTTGACAGGTACCTCAGCTGCGGGTCAGGTCTGATAGTAGCTTTGGGTCTCTGGTAATTTTAATTTGAATATGATGGGCATAACTGTTAATAAGACATAATTTAACATCTAATTTTTTTTCTAATTTGTCATCTCTGACTCGGATCGTGTTTTGCTTTTTAAAAAATAAGAATTTTAATTAATGAAACCCTAGAAGAAACTGGTGTGTGCAGCAACGATGTGCAGTCTACATTTCAACATCCGAGCCATTTGAGACAATGAGTGCAGGGATTTGCTTATTAATATTAAAGGGGTCATATGATGCGATTTCAATTTTTCGTTTCTCTTTGGAGTGTTACAAGCTCTTGGTGCATAAAGAAGATCTGTAAAGTTGCAAAGACTAAAGTCTCAAATCCAAAGAGATACTCTTTGCGTAAAAAGACCGTATAAGTCATTATAATCAGTAATTATGTCCCCACTGGATGCAACAAATGCCTCGTTTATAATGGGTTTTAATGTTTTTGTCTCGTCGCTCCGGCCGGACAGGGCATCAACAGTATGTGAGGGGCGTAACATTTCCGTCACACGCTTGAGGTATTCAAGGTATTCATGGCCAATCAGAGCACGCCTGGCTTTTCAGACCGATGAGCTTTGTAAAAATCGACGCGTTTGAAAAAGGCGGGACATAGAGGAGAAACAATA